CAAATTTTCCGCGCCGAATCGACGTGATACTCAAAATTTCCAATTTACCAGAGATCAGTCTGCAGTGATGGGGACTGTCAATATCACTAGCATCCAGGGGCCCCTACAACGCTAGGGGGGGGGAGTCAGAAACAACTGCTTCAGTAAATTTGAGTGGGGGTACTTTTTTTTACATCCATCATGATCATATGATTTCTGGTTTATAAATGTAACAATACCCCCCCCCCCACTTAATATTTAATTTAATATATTGACGGAAATTTTGGTGGATGTTTAGTAAATTTGTTATCCGAAAATTCTTGTCATAAATTATTTTTCCAATTTTAAAATATGCCTAAAAATATTAACCAATATTGATAATAGCAAAATTCCTAGAAATTGGATTACTTATAGTATTAAAATGTATAAAGTTTTTTGCTTAACATGTCTCTTATTTGGTGGTCCACACGCAAATTCAAAATGGACATGTGAAGGTCTAGATAAATGGCAAAATTTTAATCGTGATATTATTCTGCATGAATCTTCACAGGCACATATGATGGCCGATTATGGAAGGCTTTCTCATAATAAAAATTCGATATTAAAATTTATAACACCTCAGAAAGAATGTGTAGATAATAACCGTTCTATTATAAGAATTATAATAAGATGTTTAGATTATTTAATATCTCGTAACCAAGCCTTCTGGGAGAACAGGCAACAAGAAGGCAATATGATGGCCCTTATTAAGCTTATTGCAGATTCTGAACCTATACTAAAAATGTATATACAGCAAAATGAAGAAAGAAAAAAGGATAAAAAAAATAAGGGATTAAAAACGAAATTATATTCAAACCTATTATCATATAATAACATAAACATTCTCATTGAAACCCTGAAAAATATGGTTATAAAAAAAATTCAAAATGAGATTACATTTAACAGGTGCTTTTCAATCATAGTTGATGGCACATACGATGTTTCGAAATCAGAAGCAATAGCTTTGATAGTAAGATATGATGAAAATAGTGAGACGTCGAAACCTGTTGAAAGACTGATTGACATATATTGTACGGGAAATACCACAGGTCTCTATATAAAGCATAATATAATATCCAAACTTGGCTCGATGAATTTACCCCTTGAATATCTAGTTGGGCAAAGTTATGATGGCGTCTCAAACATGAGTGGAAGAATCAATGGTGTGCAAGTTGATTAGAGCAGAGGCGCCAAAGGCAGCTTTTATTTGGTGTTATTGTCATCGATTAAATTTAATCGTTGTTCAATTATGCCAATCAATTAAAGAACTTCGAAATGTTCTAGGAATACTAGATGAGATTTATGTCTATTTTAATGGTGTAAAAATATATGAGGTACTCAAAAAATTTCAGTGTAATGATCTGAAAAAATCGCAACGATTTCTACGCGTCAAGAATACCACTCGGTAATAGTTCCTTATTTATTTAAATTTTAAATGTTTTTTTTATTTAGAAGCTGGCTATCGTCATATATAGCTATTGTAAATTTTTTTCAACTTTATCATGCCTTGAGGGCAGCTTTAACAAATTTAAAGGATTCTGAAGATCCTGCCACTTCCACTATGGCTAGTGCTATAGTCTTTAGAATAGAAAAATTTGATTTAATCTTATCACTTTGTGTTTTGGATAAAATATTGTTGATAACAAGTTTGGCTTGTACAAAATTGCAAACCATTTCGAAGGATATAGGGTATGCAATAAATCAAATTCAACTGACAAAAGATTGCTTGATTAATTTAGGAAGTATAGTATAAATTATTGTCTTAATTATTTTTATTCTAATAGATAATAACACTGAATTTTTGGATATTTTTTCAAAGGCGCAAGATTTTATGAGGAGAGAAATCTACATTTTGCTTTTTTGAAAGTTCTAGACTTCAAACATTACAATCCAAAAAGGAGAGATATATATATACTTTCATCAAGAAATTTTTTTAGCTTTAAAATAGGTGTGTTTTATGCTGCACTCGATTTAATTATTATACAGTTTAACGAAAGATTTAATGATGATTCCATGAAATTTTTACATCAAACATCATTTTTTACGCCAAAGGGAATGGCAGAAAAATCAATTATTAAAGAAGATATCGAGGATATCTGTGAATTTTACAATTTAAATTCAAGTCAAATTTTCGAAGAAATGTTGAAGTTTAGAAATATTTATAAGATGGCCAAAATGGGGAATGTAATTATTACTCATGACCTAGAGGTTCAAGAATATAAAGATTTGTCAGATTCTGAGAATTGTAAATTTATTTAATTAAAATATTTTTACCAATACATTATTTAGCTACTTCTGATGATGATGATAATTCAGGGACTTACGATTCAGATTGGAAAAACTATTCATTTATTTTACCTTATCGTTTACTTTTAAATTTTTCTGCTTTCCCTAATTTAAGAATTTTATACAAATATTTATTAACCATTCCCACAACCTCATGTACTGCCGAAAGAGTCATGAGTAAAATTAAATTAATTAAAACAAGACTGCGCAGTACCATGAAAGATTCTTTTCTCAATAATTTAACCATATTATCAATGGAAAAAATTTTATTTAAACAATCAAATACTGATGAAATTATAAATTCTTTCGCTTTCTCTTCCCCTAATTTATCTAAATTATTAATTTAAAAATAATATTTATAAAGTTATATTTTTTGCATTTTATTTATATTATATATTAAAAATTGATGCAATAAAAATTATTTTTGAAATTTAGGGGTGTCATAATTATCATTTTTTCGAAGGGAGGGGGGGGGGGTACTTTTCATGGGGGTATTCTGCTTCATTCTCTCAAAAAGTGTAGGGGCCACTGCTAGCATCACTAAAAACAGATTCCGAAGAGATTACTGAACACTTTTTTAACTGAATGAGAAAAAAAATAACTATATGGCAAAATGCTTATTAACTAATTATTACTATTAAAAAAAATTAAACATAAAAATGGATTTGGATTTTATTTATAAAAATAGATGGCATTTTAGATATAACTTTTTTTTTAAATTTTATAATATTTTATTTTTGTTAAAAGCGCCATTTTTTATCGGATCGGATCGGAAAATTTTATATTTGCCGATAACCGATATTTTAAAATGAGTGAAATATCAGCCCGATCCGATATAAAATATCGGTACATCCCTAGTTATAAATATTATAGATATATAAACCGTTATGTAAAGTAAATCACAATAAAATTAAAAATTTTATGATGATTTAAAAAGTTAATCAAAATATCATTCATAAATGAAAATTCATTTTTCTTTGCAATTGTGCCAGTTCTGTGTTCAGGATTAGTTCTCGATGAGTAAAGCTAGTCTATTCAATTAATTTTAAAATGTCGTACTTTTGATATATGTTTTTATTCTCTGTAATGAAGCTTATACTAATTGGTATCATTCCCAAAATATACAGTAATTTTAATATATTTGAAAAACTTATAAATATATTTTAAATGATGCAAAGCTTTCACTGTATTTTCAGGAGGATTATCTATAAAAATGAATTTTTCATACCATTTAAATTCTGAAATTAATTGGCCTTCAAATACATTTATAACCTGTGAATAAAATTTAGCTAAATATTTAGTTTGTCAATAACAAGATTTGATATATCCTCAAATCAGTGGGAGTTATAAGAGATAGTTGTAAATTGAATTAAGCCAAATGGTAAATCACAAATCGTTCATTGATTTGAGTCAAAATTATATCTAAAAGTGGAATAAAAAGGGCTAATTTTTGGCAATCCTTAATTGAGTCAATATTAATATTGGAACGATTTGTTTGTCGATGAAAGTTGAGGCTTGTGAATCTCAAAATCATATAATTATGCTTTCACCTCAACAATTACATAAATCTCTAGAAATACCTATTCGATATTAGCTCTTGGATTTCTAAGCTGTAATATAATAATATTCCCAATTCTCAAAACTTCAGCCAAATCCATTTTTTTGAAAAATAAAAATTATTTTGTAATAAATAATTTATTAATACATTTTAATGAATAAATTATATAATATATCAGTTTCAAATGAAATATCTGTTTCAGGTAAATATGATATTTCTCCAAGGGCATACAAAATAGGTTATTCTATATTCAAAAAATGTTGTAACAGCTTTATATTGAAGGCTCCATCCTGTCGTGCAGGATATTTATCTATTTCTTTCTAATAAACCTTTTATATAAATCAATTGTGTTTGCTATTGAAATTGGATCCATAAAAAACTTGTTAAATAATTATAATATTTTATTTTATTTGCACACAAATTGCCCAGGCCAGCTCATTAAATTTTTTGCTTAGTCTAGTATAATTCTTTTTAATTTGCTTGGCTTGGTTTCCAGGCTTTTGGATAAGCAGAGCTCAAATTTATATATTAAAAAAATATAATAGGTTACAATTTTTATTTGAAAATATTCAATTCCTTATGTGGCTTCTTATTTTCATAATTTTTTTCACTTTTTTTATTTAAAAAATTTAATTTTTGACAAATACGCATCCAATATTTTATTCATAAATTTTAATTGATTTGTATTTAACAGTTAAGTGGAAAATAAATATTTGGTACATCTCTAATTTTTATTTTAAAACCTCATTTATGTTTATACCAATATTTTATATCAGATTGGATATGAACAATATTTTTTTCCTTTTTTTAAAATGTCAGTTATTGACATATACAATATTATTAATTTTTTTAAACCAATCCAATAAAATGGCAACCTAAAGTATTTATGAACTAATAATATTAATGATATCAGATTGGTAATTGGCCAATATCAAATAATGGCAATATAGTATTAGCTTCCAAAAAGTGATATTGTACAACTATATTTATAGTAACGACAATGTTGCTCAAACAATTAGTTGTAAAATATAACATTATGTATTTTGAAAGTGACATGTTGCCCAATATGGTTACTATAAATTCTGTTTTATTCATTAAAAAAAGTAATCAATTATATTTATAATCTAGATGGCAAAACCTATGATGGCAATTTCAATGCAGACCCAGGTTAAATATTTTGGAATGGGCTTGTAGAATTTTCCACAACATTCAGCTAGATCCTGGCCAGTTACCACTCCTAAACGTATAGCTAGTCTTTGAAAAATCAAACCTAGAATGGTAGATAAGAGAAGAACCCATAGTAAATGATATTGAGCTAGGGAACCTGATCTAAGATCGGATTCTATATTCCCTGGATCCAGATAGGCTATGCTCATGAGAAAGCCAGGGCCAGTAAAAACCCAAAGCTTTCTGAAACTGAAGTGTCTCCAATACAAGAAAGGTTGTTCTTGTTCATTTTGAGAAATATTTGAATGTGATAAAGTAGGCTTTTCGTGTATAACCATTGTTGCAGGTTTAACATTGGTTATATAGTTATCGGTGAAGAGAGAGCTTTTATTCATTTGTTAGATTCTTTGGCAAGATAGTCCTAAAAAAATAGAAAGGTAATAACTATTTACCTATAAAAGATTTTTAAATTAAGTAGCCAATTATTTTTAAGTCTGTAGATTTTTAATATATTAGAACTGAAATATAAAGCTTAATCTACAAATATGCTCAAATTTTAGGAAAATTTTATAATTTAAAAAAATCAGAAGTTTTAATAGGCAGAGGCTGCGCGCCCCATAGAAAATTATTTTTTAGGCTGCTTGCCCCCATTTGGGGGTAAATAAGAAAATTATAATCTAGGTTCCTCCAAATGGGGGTAAATATAAAATTTTAGGCTGCTGCCCCCAAATGGAGCTTTTTTTTGTAGATTCAAACATTGTTTTTTGAAAACATCTTTTTTTGTAAATCCTAAAATTGTTTTTTAAATCTAACCTTGTTTTTTGTACAAATCTGTTTTTTGTAAATTTTAACATTGTTTTTTAAAATTAACTTTTTTTTGAAAATTCTAACATTGTTTTATTAAAACCAACCATTTTTTGGGGCATGACTAAAATACGCGGCCCCGAAAACTTCGCGCCCCCTATGAAAGAAGCTTAATTTAAATTATATTAGCATAGAATCGTATTTAGCTTCATAAGATAAAGCAGAAAATGTTTTTTTTTATTTTAAAAAATGGTAACATAGTAAAATTTTTAAAAAATTAATTTTTTACATGACTAAAATATGTGCCCCTATGCGCCCCCTATTAAAAAAGCTTAATTTATAAAAAATGAACGTAGTATCATATAGAGCTTATTAAAAAGTATGGAAAAATGTTAATATTATATTTTAAAACTTTTTATAACCTAGTGGGCTTTTGAAAAAACAAATTTTTTTGACTAAACTACGCGCCCCATATCAAAGAAGCTTATTTCATAAAAAATTAAAGCATAATCCTATTAAGCTCATTAAGAGGAATCAAAAAATGTTAATATTAAGTTTATAAATAATTTCTAACTTATTGAGATTTGGATAAAACACTTAATTTCTTCTTTTTTTGACTAAACTACGCGCCCTCTATGCGCTCCCGTTAAATATACAAATAATATCATTTTCTGAATCTCCTTGAAAAGTTATATATGATTCTGTATTCATTTTTTAAAAATAATGTAGATTTAACGGGGGCGTGTAGGGGCGCGTAGTTTAGTCAAAAAAAGAAGAAATCAAGTGTTTTTCCAAATCTCAATAAGTTATAAATTATTTATAAACTTAATATTAATATTTTTTGATTCCTCTTAATGAGCTTAATACGATTAGGCTTTAATTAAGATTCCTTGATAGGGGGCGCGTAAGGGCACGTAGTTTAGTCAAAAAAAAATTTTTTTTGATAATAATAATATTTTTTTAAAAAAAATAAATAATACTGAATCTCCTTAAAAAGTTATACATGATTCTGTATTTATTTTTTAAAAATAATGTATATTTAACGGGGGCGCGTAGTTTAGTCAAAAAAAGAACAAATTAAGTGTTTTTTCCAAATCTCAATAAGTTATAAATTATTTATAAACTTAATATTAACATTTTTTGATTTCTATTAATGAGCTTACGATTATGCTTTAATTTTTTATGAAATAAGCTTCTTTGATAGGGGGCGCGTAGTTTAGTCCAAAAAAAAGAAGAAATTAACTGTTTTTACCAAATCTCAAAATTATTTATAAACTTAATATTAACATTTTTTGATTTCTCTTAATGAGCTTAATACGATTATGCTTTAATCTTTTATGAAATAAGCTTCTTTGATAAGGGGCGCATAGGGGCGGGAGCTTAGTCAAAAAAAAATATTTTTGATAATTAAAATATTTTTTTAAAAAAAATAAATAATACCATTTTCTGAATCTCCTTAAAAAGTTATACATGATTCTGTATTCATTTTTTAACAATAATGTATATTTAACAAGGCCCGTAGTTTAGTCAAAAAAAGAAGAAATTAAGTGTTTTAAAAATCTCAATAAGTTATAAATTATTTATAAACTTAATATTAATATTAATATTTTTTGATTCCTCTTAATGAGCTTAATACCAGTGGCGTCGCTAGGAGGGGGTGCGCAGGGGCTCGAGCCCCCTGAAAAATTTGAATAACCCCCTGAAGCAAAAAATATTTTTTTTAAATTGCTCCTTAATATCCCCTTGAACTAAAAATAAATTTTTTTAATTGCCCCCTGAACGATTTCTTTTATAATTTTATTGAGTGATATATAGATTTAATTTTATTATTTAAAAATTAATAAAATTATTTAAATTATTATTAAATGAATACTATTTTAATTATTAGATTAGATTATACATATAAATTATATGTTCACTCTGTCAGCTTGTAATCAAATTCTGTGTTAAAAATATATCAATATCACTCACTAAATATTAATTTAGCATTAACAGTTGAAGCTTATTGAATTTTATTATTTAAATTATTATATAACCTTAATTAAATAAATATAATCATTTATTAATTGAAAACTAACAGATTTAATATTGTAATTAGCCGAGTTCGAAATCACTAATCAACTATATTTTGATTTTTAAATTTAATTATCATGTCTCTTCCTAAAATTATTTTTAAGGTCCAAATCAATGACATATAATATACCTAGAGTGACGATTCATACATTAAAAGTGTACCTCAATGCAAATCAGCTGGGGTCGCCATATTGGTTACCTATACCATTAAAATTTTAAACGAAACTTTATTAAAGAATTGCCTTATCATCTAGATAATAAGGAAGCAAGTTACCATTACCTATATAATAATTTTCTAGAATCATTATTAAAATATAAAAAGAATAATGTTAATACAGTTGTTTGTTTCACATTTTCATCACCACAATATCCAATTTATCCTATGTTATATCCGACTAAACCTCCTTTAATTCCACATCAATAAACATTAATGGTACCTTCAAATATCCTATCTCACAATTATTTCAAGGCTATTCTTCCAAGGAAATATATTTAAAGAACCATATTCAAATAATTTAAAATATTATGAGATAGATAGTTATAATAATTTTCATTAAAATATATATTTTTATCATGCTACTAGTAAATCTTATGTATTTTGATTATATAGTATTTAATAAAGATCCCTACTTATCTTATTTGTTTTTCTTAAGAGATAATATAATTGTTTTAAATTTCTATTCAATTCTTAAAATATCTAATAAGCTAGATATATACAAAGCATTGCTTGAATTTATGTTTTTTTGAGACTTTGCTAACCCTTTAATATTTCGAACCTTATAAGGTGATTATTTACCAATGACATAATATGTCATTGTTATTTACATTATATTATCCAGCTTATTTTATCATTCAAAAAAATTATCCCTTTTATATTTTTTCAAACATAAAAAATTTTAGATTAATAAAAATAAAACATTATATGACTTCATTTATTTAAAAAAAAGGACTTTAACACTTCAGATCAATTTAGTTTAATCTTACCTCCTTATTTTTTGAAGAATTTCATAAATTAGGGATCTATTAATTAAATGATGAAAAACAATAATTTTCCTTTCAATATACTATAGATTCTTTAATGAAAATAAATGTTGATAAAAACAGGGAAAAATATTTCTATTTTATATCTATAAAGCTAAATAATAATTAAATTTTTTTTATTCAACTTCTTTTTTTTTTGTATAAAAAATAGTTTATTATAAATTAAAAAATAGAAATAAATACATAAATAAAAAAAATCATTAAAATAAAGTATCCACATTTAAATATATACATTTACGATATAAATTTAATATCATTTTAAAAATCAAATATAAATTAAAAATGATCATAAGCTATTCTCCAGCAAATAAGATTGCTTTTGTCAGCTTCTGCCGAATGTTGGTATTTGATTTTTTGTTTTGTATATCTGCAAAATGATATAATCTTTTCTTAATTTTTGAATATATATATCTTGGTTTTAACCTTCCTTGATAAAACTGTTAAATTGCTATGTATATATGATCATTGTGATAATTGGAAAATATAGGATCAATCTAATATATAGAAACAATAAATCACAGAATAACCAATAAAGCTTACATGGCTAACTGGCTCCTCCAAATTTCCAACTTCAAGATTATTTAGGATATCAATTGTTTTTGGGAAATATTTTCTCTTAAAATTTTTTTTGATAAAATAAAAATATTGTAATTTTATAATAAATATTAATATATAGAAACAATAAATCACAGAATAACAAATAAAGCTTACATGGCTAACTGACTCCTCCAAATTTCCAACTTCAAGATTATTTAGGGTATCAATTGTTTTTGGGAAATATCTTCTCTTAAAAAAATATTTTATATGTTATTATTACTTTATAAAGTAATAATGTTTAACCTTTTTGGTTAAGGAATAGTTATTAGCAGCATAGGTGTGATCATTTTTTTTTCTACAGTTTGAAATTGTAAATATATTATAATTCAGAATATTTGTAATCTTTGAATAATATTTTAAAATAAATAAATATATAAATAAAATATCAGCTCGGAAATAATGATATTAGGTATTTGAATATATGGGGGAGGTGGGTGTTTATAAAGAATATATAACATTATTGTAAAATATGATATCTTTTATTTAAAAATTAAAATACTCAATTATAAAGGGAATCATAGTTTACATGGACTTAATCCTCTATATTCCCCTCATAACTATATTGCATGAGTTAGAATAGGAACATAAAATATTTATATTATAATCATACATCCTGAAGAGGAATGGGTTTATTGAAAATGGTAGGTATAGATTCTTCCTTTAAACTTCTAATCCCTGTAACAGATGGAATAAATCAATCATTGTTGAAATGTTCACCACATATTTTAGAATATTTAGTGGGCTTAAAATTTTTTCTATTGATTGACTTTAACCATTTAGATAATAAGATAGGATTCTTTAGAGGGAATCTGGATATAAATTTAATATTAAAATATTATACATAATATGATTAAACTCTACCTATGAAATGATTTTTTATTATTATTAATAGATTTTGAATTGCATGATATTGCACAACAATAGCTCATAGTCTACTTCCATAAAAATAAAAAAGATATTTATCATTCATAAATTATTAAAATACTTTTTAAGAAAATATTAATGTTAAATTAAATATCTTCAATAAAATAATTATGGTATAGGTTACCAAAATGGCGGGTCCAGCTGATTTGCTTTTAACGACGCTTAAAAATGCATTTTAATGAATGAATCGTCAGTCTAGGTATATTATATGTCATTGGTCCAAATCCAAATGTGCATAAGATATTTATTTGTAAAAAGTAAGTAGATAAATAGTTTATAATCCTTTATAATATATAATTATATATAAAATATTAGGTAATATGCCACTTTTACACACATATTTAACAGTTATATAATATATTACAGTTAATAATTTTAAAATTTTAATAATAAATGCTTTTGATAATAAAAATAAGTAACTTTGCAATCAATTATTTAACGCCATCTATTTATTAAAGATATTATTAAAATTTAACTTATTATTTATCCCACAATGTATGTAATAAATTAGATATCTTTTCTTCTCTTTTTTTACGTGTTTTTAGGAAAGCTATTTTTTTCTTCTTTGAAAAACAGTTTTGAGTTAAATTTTTAATACGAGTATTGTTAATATAAAAATTTTGCATATTTTAATAACCTTTGAAATTTATATTTTCTTAATTACTTTTAAATTTATTTAATGATCTTTTTTTCTTTTTGTGAAATATATTTTGTGCGACCTTTAAAAAAAGATATCGTATTTATATATGTAAAACGTTAAAATAACTATTTTTAAAGTAACCTTAAAACAAATTGTAAATTGTAACTTTTCTTAAATTAACCTTAAAACAAATTGTAAATTGTATATTTGTAAATAGTATTAAAATATAGTTGTAAAATTTTCAATATCTTCAGTAGTAGTAATAGTAATAAAAATAAAGATAAATTAAATAAAATAAAATAATTTTTTTACTTTTTCTTTACCTGCCTTCCCTGAAAATAACAAGTATATTTTTGATATTATTACAATCTATTATTATTTTAAGATATAATATACCAAATAGAGGCGGTGCGACAATAATATATAAAATCTTAATTACCATATCACTCTGGTTCTTATTTTATAGTTACGAAATGTTTCATTTCTAATATGGCATCCTTGCCGTGTAAATAACTCAAAACTTCAATATTTTTGCATAATTTCTTCTAAAGATTTTTATTGTTTTTGTTTTATCAATTTATCTAACATAACAAATTCTGATATGGGTTACCATCGTGAGTGTTATGGCTATGACTGCTAACCAGTATCTATTATTTGTGTGGCTATGTAATTTAAGATTATTATTACAGCTGCTGAGAGCATATGATTGCATATTTTATAAGCAATAATGGTCAACTGTGTAGTCGTTTATATTTCATTAAAAATGGAAGATAATCTTTTAGAAATTTAATATCTCACAAAAATTTTCTCGATTACTTATCTAGCTTCCATCCAGGGTTACCATGTCTCCCCCTATTAGCGGGAGACTCCCGCTATTTTTTAATTTACATGCAGGCATCTCTCTCCCGCAAAACTACCGCAATTGAAAATCTCCCGCAAAAATCTACCGCAATTTTTTAATTTCTCCCGCAATTTATTTAAAAGTATTTTAACGTTTTTAATATATAAATAATAATTTTGAGAGACATTAATTGATTATTTTTATATTTTTAAAATAAATTTTAAATATTTATTCGAAAAACATTTCTAGTTTGTAAATTTCTTTCTATCCTGTTTTATTTTTATCTAATAATAAATCAACATCATTTCATTCACATAAGTCAGTACAGGAGAGTATATCAACATCGATTGCAATACAAAAATTCTCCAAAAATAATAAATAATACAGACGCGACTACAGTTGCGGAAATCGTATACACCTATCATGTAGTTCAACATTCACAGAGCTATATCATCACAATGTGGGTCGAATCTTTTTTCCATGATATTTAACGACTCCAATATAAGTGCAAACCAGTGGCGTAGCTAGGAATTTTCCTTAGAGGGGGCCATACATATAAAAGCCTGTGGGGCTTCGCCCCCAGACCCCCTTTAACGGGCCTTCGGCCCTTTTGCCAGGCCTTCGGCCGGGTTTATCTTATAAATCATAACTATATCTTCGATAATATATAATAAATATATATTTTAAATGCATCAATAATATGTTATTATAATTTAGAAGGTTATTCTCAATGACTTTATAATAATACTATCCAGAATAATTTCAATAGTAATATAATATCCTTCCACAAACATCAAGACCAGAATAATTTCAATAGTAATATAATATCCTTCCACAAACATCAAGACCAGAAAAATATAAATATTAATGGTATTTATTTGATATTAAGTCACTTTTAAGTCTTTTGAACGTATAATCTAAAAAAAAATTTTGCTCTGGGAGGGGTCCAAACCCGGAAACCACCCCCGTAGCTACGCCACTGGTGCAAACCTTACTTGTGGTAGAAAAAAAATGAGCAAGGCTATCACAAGTGTTTTAGAACCTGAATCCTAGAGGTCAATTCTAGACGATTTGAAAGATGGGCATCCATATGCAATTCTGACAAATGCATTTAATAAGGGAAATATTAAAACATTTCCCTTGATCTTTCGCTATTCCAAGAAGAATATCAACATTTCAATAAAACTATTAAATTTTTTCCCTCGAATAGTGAAAAACCCAACGATCTAGCTAACCACTAATGTATATAAAGCTGATTAAGGGTTATCAATGAATTGAATGTCAGCTTTCTGGGCTGATTATACCTCTGTAAATTTTGGCAAAAACCAAAGTGTATTTACCGAATTGAGGCAGCAAAATAATGAATTAATACCAATTGACTGTATATGCCATATACCACATGATTCTTTCAAGAAGGCAATTATCTGTGGATGTCGAAATAATTATGATGAGGTGTTTTAACGAATTTATTTCATCAACGAAAAGAGTTAATGAATTAAAAGAGTTGGTGGAGTGGTCTGACTTGGAATGGTGTGAGTTGTTGCGATATGTACTTATCAGGTGGTTTTCATTAATACCTGCCATCGATAGAATCTTAAAATTTTACAAACCCTTAAAAAAATACTTTTTAAATAAAGATTTTAAAAGCTGTCCTAAAATTTTGAAAAATTTTTTCAAGTATGAAATGGCATAAGCATATTTGGGATTAGTTTCACATGCAGAAATCTACTTCATGCAGTTAATATTCAGTTGCAATCAGAATATTCTTTATTAATAAAGATTCACAAAATCATGCTTCAGCTCTGTTCATCTCTACAGTTAAAATTTGATAATAAATTTTATGGCGCTATTGCTAAAAATATTAAATGTTCAAATAATACACTAATTAATACATTTTTAAATGAAGAAGATATTTTTATTAAGACAATAATATTTACAATTAAAATTTGATTTTAATAACTCTATTTACAAATGTATAAATATTATGACCCTGGAACAGAGACCGTCAATTGATGGTTTTTGTAATTTAATAAATATATTAAAAATACCGAAAGACATTGATGTCTTGTTTGAGGAGATTGTAATTCTCTCTATTTTTTATGATTCGCCAGAATACTTAAAATTAGATTGTCTAAAAGCAGAGGAGAAACGGGTAGAATTTTTTCGTAATAACAATAAATCCCCATCCTTGGAAAAAAATTGCGAATATGTCTTCTCCTTACCTCATTCTAATGCCTCATCCGAGCGCATTTTAGCCTAATGAGGACTGCGTGGAAAACGGATTGTTTTAACAACATTAGAGGCCGAGCTAATGGTTAATCAAATTTATAATATGTCATGCCAGGAATTTTAAAAATATTTCAATAACGATGGTAAACGTTTAGTTCCATTATTTAAATCTCAAATAAAATATAATTAACATTATATTTAATTTTCCATATTTTTTTATTTATACATTCGCATAAAATAAATATATTTTTTACATTGTAAATCAAAAATAGAGAGCATTACAATATCCTCAAACAAGACATCAATGTCTATAGGTATTTTCAAAATATTTAAACATATTAAAATAGTTTTAGAAATGGCGCCATAAAATTTATTGTCAATTTTTAACTGTAAAGATTAACACATCTGCAGCATAATTTTGTGAATCTTTGTTAAGATTCTTCTGATTGCGACTGCACATTAACAGTATTAGATTTCCTACATGTGAAATCATTCCTAAATATACCTCTGTCATATATTACTGAAAAAAAATTTCAAAATGTTAGGACATCTTTTATAATCAGATGCATCTGTTAGAATATTGCATAGTATGCCCATCTTTCAAATCGTCAAGAATTGACCTACTGAATTCAGGTTCTAAAACATTGATGATATCCTTGCTCATTTTTGTTCTACAAGTAAAGTTTTCATTTATCTTGGAGTCGTTAAATATTATGGGGAAAGATTCTACCTACATTGTATGATAAGTAGCTCTGTAAATGTTGTACTACAAGATAAGTGATTACAATTGCTGCAACCGCAGTTGCATCTATATTATTACTTATTTTTGGAGAATATTTTTGCTTTGCAATGTATGTAGATTCACTCTCCTGCACTGATTATTATAATGTGACAATAATAAATAAAATAATTATCATTGAGTACAATATTACCTTATTATGTATTTAAACGTAATACGTGATAATTAAGCGCCTATCCCTATAATGTTATACACACACAAGGTAAATTTTTAATTTCGGATGTTTTGCGGGACATTCACATAAAATATATTTTTTACATTGTAAAATTAAAATTGT